GACGCCGCCGAGGCCGCCGCCGCCGAGCGCTTCATCTACCCGTCGCTGCCCTACTCGCCCGTGACGTCCCCGCACGCGTCACCGCGCCTGCCGCGCCGCCCCACTGTCGAGTCCAACCGCGTCTCCATCACCGGCTTGCAGGTGAGCGGCGCCTCCGCGCCCGCCCGCTGCTCTCCCCGGCGCCCTGGCTTTTCGCTTCCTTTTCATTATTATTATTTTGCACGTTATTTAATTCTTGCGGGGGGCGTCTTTGCAGCAAGGAGCTTGGCACGAATGGGGCTCAGGGCAKCTGGGCATCCCCGTCCCCTGGGGTTTGCATCCAAAGCTGTGTATGTGAGTCGGGATCTGGCCATGGGCTCTTTAGCACTGTGATTTCGAGGCCTTTTTTCCCTTCCTGTTGTTTTTTCCTTTTAAAAAAGGAGACAGTGCTGAGATTTAACGCAAAACTTGCCTGGCCTGTCCCCAGCCTGCCCGGGCTTGATGCTCCTGTTCCAGGCCAGCAGGCAACCTCTGCCCTAACCTTAACCAGCCTACCCTAACCTTAGTGCCATCATTAGCTACCCGGGGCTGTTTCTTACCACTAATGAAGCCCAAGAAGCCTCGGCTGCAGCCRGGCCGGTCCCCGCTGCTGCCGTCACGGTTCTGTCCCCTTTTTCACGGGCTTTGGTGCTGCTGCTTCCCTCCCTGGTGGCGTTTGTGTCGYGCGGGGCCCTGCACGGCAGGCGGTGCTGGCGGGTCTGGCGCCCCCGCTCACCCTCCGCTCGCCCCTTGGCAGGACTGTGTGCAGCTCAACCAGTACAAGCTCAAGGATGAGATCGGGAAGGTGAGCGCRGCGTCCGGGCGGGATGCGCGGCGTCCGGGCGGGATGCGCGGGCGCCCACGGCGGGCAGCCCACGGACACGTCTCTCCCTGCAGGGCTCCTACGGCGTGGTGAAGCTGGCCTACAACGAGGACGATAACACCTACTATGTGAGCGCCGCGGGCAGCGGGCTCCGCGCCGCCGGGCGGCCGCGCCGCTCACGGGCGCTCTCTTGCAGGCAATGAAGGTGCTCTCCAAGAAGAAGCTGATGCGGCAAGCGGGCTTCCCCCGTAAGTGTCACCACAGGGCTTTGCTTGACGTCCTCTCCCATTTCCCTGCCTGCTCCCGGTGCTCTTCCCTCCTGAGGAGGATGTGGGCGCTTTCCTTGTGGCACCTCTGCCCCTTTCCCGGCTCCCACCGTGGGGTCACCTCTCACGTGGGTGCCCCAAATGCTGCCGTCCCTCCCGCGCAGGCCGCCCGCCGCCCCGCGGCGCCAGGGCCGCCCCCGAGGGCTGCGTGCAGCGCAAGGGGCCCATCGAGCAGGTCTACCAGGAGATCGCCATCCTGAAGAAGCTGGACCACCCCAACGTGGTGAAGCTGGTGGAGGTGAGCGGAGTCACGGGGCGGGATCGCTTCCCTCTGGATGTGTGGGGATTTTGTAAGGGAGCCTCCTGTCCAAGCACGATGCAGCCTGGTGCTGGCAGCGGCATCTTGGCTCCGGGTTCTGCTGGGGCCGGTCCTGCATCTTGGACATGTGGGTTTTTCCCCTTCTTTTGAAATGGTCTCTTTTTTTCCCCTCCCTCCATGCAAAAGACAGAGAGAACTTTGCTCTTTCTTTTCTGAAAGAGAAATATTCTGGTTCCTTTGAAGAATCAGAAAAACTCAGATCAGTTTAGGGAAGGAAATGACATYCCCATGGTGTCTGCAGAGGGGTGATAGAGCCTGTCAGGGGGAACAAGAGCAGGTTGGCCCTGGGGTCCCCACATTGCCCAGACCTGGTGGGTACAAAGCCACGTCTCTATTGGAAGGTCCATTTTGGAGGGGTTTTGTTGCATCTCCTTGTTGCTTGTGGCAGGTGCTGGATGACCCTGGYGAGGACCACCTGTACATGGGTAAGCGAGCCGCCCTGGCTGGACGTTTTCCTTGGCTTTGCAAATAAATCATGGCTTAGTTTTCCCGAGCGCAGATCAGCTCCTCCCCAGGTGTCCATATCTGAAGTCACTTAAGATGCCTTCAAGCCTGAGCTGGCCGCGTGCCTGGCTCTCTTAGCTGGAGGCAGCAGCATCCCAAACCGTGTGTGCCTAGCACGAGATGGCACCTCCTGTCCGTTCATGCACTGCTATTGTAATTTAGCCATRAAAACAACGGCTTGTGCGCTGGGACGCGGCTTGTGTGGGAGCTCCAGTCAGCGGTTAATCACCTTTTCCTCCTCATTTCAGTGTTTGAACTGGTGAAGCAGGGGTGAGTACYGACAGACCCAGACCCTTAAAGTGAAGCAGGTTTGTATGTAGCAGCTCTCCATCATCTGAAGCCGAATTCAGAGATTTGTTTTACRGAGAATTTCTCTCCCCGGGTGTTTGCCTGGGTGCAGATGGTGCCGTGTGCCTGGGGCTGAGCAYCTCTCCCACCGCTGCTTTGCAGGCCCGTGATGGAGATCCCCACCCTGAAACCTCTCTCCGAAGATAAGGCTCGCTTCTACTTCCAGGATCTCATCAAGGGCATTGAATACTGTGAGTGCCGGATCAGGGGACGCGCGGCTCCGGCAGCGCCGCGCGTGGCTGAGCCCCAGCTGCTGCCCTGCCCACAGTGCACTACCAGAAGATCATCCACCGGGACATTAAACCCTCCAACCTCCTCGTCGGCGAGGACGGGCACGTCAAGATCGCCGACTTCGGCGTGAGCAAYGAGTTTAAGGGCACGGATGCCCTCCTCACCAACACGGTGGGCACGCCGGCGTTCATGGCGCCCGAGACGCTCTCGGAAACCCGGAAAATCTTCTCTGGGAAGGTATCGGGCTGCAGCGTGGGGATTTGGGAATAATTGTTGGTATGAGCTTGGTCTCCGGTTCCCAACCTCACCTGCTCCCTTCTCCCCGCAGGCTCTGGATGTCTGGGCCATGGGCATCACGCTCTACTGCTTCGTGTTCGGGCAGGTAACGGGCGCTCGCTTGGCTGCGGCGGCGCCGCGAGCTGCCGCCCTCCCTCCTCCTTAACAGCTCCTCTCGCTCCTGCTCTTGGCCACCAGTGTCCTTTTATGGATGAGAGGATCCTGAGTTTGCACAAYAAAATCAAGACCCAGACCTTGGAGTTCCCAGACCAGTAAGTGCTTAAGGARTTCTGGCCGGAGGGAATTCATCTAGGCCGGCATCCTCCCCGCAACACTTGTCCGTGCTCTCCTTCCTTCCCCCAGGCCAGAAGTTACGGACTTCTTGAAGGACCTGATTACACGGATGCTGGATAAAAACCCCGAATCGAGGATTTCGGTCCCAGAAATCAAGGTACTGGCGCGGTGCCGCGGTGGTAGCCGCGGCTCAGGCCCGTCGCGTTCCCCTCGCTCCGCTTGCTCGGGAGTCGCTGCGATCCCCGCAGGTTTAGGTGCTCCCTCCGGGCCCGGCCCCGCGGGTAAGTCCCGGCTCCTTCCCCCGTCCTGGCCCTTCTCGGCTTTGGGACCTTTGGTGCCTACAGAAGCACGAGGCGGAAGGAAAGCCCCTGAGCGCAGTATTTCCTCTGCTACCAGGAAAGTACTGTGCAACAGCCTTTCGCAGGAGATTTCGGGTCCCCTGCCCCTGCCGGACCCTGGAAGGGGCGAGAAGCTGAGAAAATGGAGACAAAGGTAGGGGGAAAGGATGGCGGGGAACGTGCTGATCCTTTTGCCTCCCTCCTGCCGATGGCCGAGCACTCCAGGCTGTGCAGACCCGTCGCCCCTGGCCAAGTCTAGGGCTCGCTGCCTCCCCGCAACACCGGACCGCGAACGGACCGACCGCTTCGTTCAGGGGGGCTCCTGCTTCCCTCCTGGCACCGGGGAGGGTCCGCAGGGGCCCGGCGCTGCCGTGCGCCCCGGCTTCRGCGAGGGCGCACCGCGCTCGCCGCCGCGCTGGTCTGGTTTTCAGTACGAAAAAGAGGAAATCGTCCCTGACAGGGCTGTGTTATTAATTGAAGTTGCACCCTTGGGCCACCAAGAACGGCGTGGAGCTGCTGCCCACGGAGGACGAGAACTGCACGCTGGTGGAGGTCACGGAGGAGGAGGTGGAGAACTCGGTCAAGCACATCCCCAGCCTGGCCACCGTGGTGAGCGCCGGGCTCGTGGGAAGGGCACAGAGCTGCTCCGGCTTTTTCCCGACATTTGGGAACCTCTGGAGCAGAGGTGGTTCCCAGCCTCTGTTAATTTGTCCCTGGGAAGCTCTCCCTCCATCTCGGGCAACATGCAGTTGCAGAACATAGAAATTGGCCCAAAATGCTTCTTGGGGGAGAAAACCTGCTCACATTTCATTCTGTTCTGCTGCCCACCTCTCCCATCTGACGTGACGGCGTTTGCATGTCCACCTATTGCATTTTGCATGTCCACCTACTGCATATTCACATGATGACAGAGGCTTCCATGTTAGCCTTTTCTGTTTTCTTTTTCCCAAAGGAAACTCTCCCATGTTTTCAGTAGTTCCCAAATTAGCCAGGCAGCGGGTTTAGATGTTTGTTGCCCTTGAGGCAAAGGGCGGGGTCTCAGGTGAGTAGTCACCCCCTGCCAACCGCCAGCCTGGTCTTGCAGATCCTGGTTAAAACGATGATCAGGAAGCGATCGTTCGGGAACCCCTTCGAGGGCAGCAAGCGGGAGGAGCGGTCGCTGTCCGCGCCGGGGAACTTGCTGCCGTAAGTGTCTCATTACCGTCGGTCTCCTCGTGGTCTTGAATGACCAAGACCCACCAGTGTTTTCTGTGCTCTTGGCCTCTTTTCCCACTGTGTCCCTGGGTTGCAGCCGGCTCTGCAGGCTGGAGGTATTGGATAATGATGCTGGCAAATCAGCCTGTGTCACTTCTGTGGTGAAGCTTGGGGTGAAGACTCCCCATTGGGTTCTGGTTTCTGCTGCTGCCTTGCAGAAGGTTGAATGGTTTCCTTCCCCAACACCTTTAATTCCCCAAAGGAGTCAAAGCACTTGCTGGGTCCCTGTCAATCTGAGGCCCAAGCACTGTGAAGTGACCCTCACAGGGAAAGGGTGCTGCTGGCTCTTTAGCCTGCTTAGAAACACATTTATTTTATTAAAATGTCCCACTCACAAGCTGAACGTCATCAACTTAGGTGGCTCAGCTCATTGGATCCTTGTCTTCTCCATGGCCARAGCTTTAGTCTGTCCTAAAAAGCAAACAACTAAATCCTCCCAAATCCCCTCAGAGAGTGGATTTATACAAGGTATTTTCCACACGGATGTTCAATGGATTTAATGCATGTTTGTGCACAGGGACTGAGGAAGACTTYAGGAAATCCGAATTTAGACTCATTTTTGGAGTTACTAAGCAAGGGTTAGGTGGTATCTTGGTCTCTGGTAGCTCACCTTGCCCAGGGGCAACTTGTCCTCAATGCACATGACTCTTGCTGCCTTCTGATTGTACTTGCAACCTGGGCCTGCTTCCAAAATACACCGTGAGGGTTGATTTACCTGTTTTCTCATCCATATTCGGGACTGGAGCCTACAATCTGACCGTGTGTTGCTCTTCTGGAGAGAGAGGATTACTCTTTTGGAGAGAGGGATCATGACATTTATCAAACTGAAGTGGGCCAGTTCCCTTGACCCCTTCCCAGCCTCTCCAGCAGCATCCAGGGAGGCTCTTGCTGGTGCATTAGCCTCATCTCTTCSGTGTGGAATTGCAGCTTCTCTCAGATATTCTTGAATTACCCTTGTGCTCTGATTCCTCCCTGGTCTGTGCTGTCTCTGCTGTTTAGTGCTGTAGGGCGTGAAGGATCAAGATTGCRTATCCCAGCGTAACTCTTCTTGTTGTTTGCCCCTTTATCCCGCCACGGCTCATAAAAATGATGTGTTGGGAACCCAAATACAGCTTTCTGCTCCTCCTTCCCTCCTCACTGCGGCCCAAGCAAGAAGGTCTGGAAAGGAGATGATTGAAATGTTTTGTTTCCTCCTAAAGCAGGAAGCAAGGCAGCGAAGATCACGTGAAATGCAACGACCTGCCCAACGTGGGTGAGGACGAAGCTCTGTCGTGAGCGGCGCCGTGGCGGGGTCTGTTGGGCAGCGTGGTCGGGGGCACYGTGCCCAGCGTGCAGCCGAGGCCGCCGACAGAGCCTCCTCCAAACGCAGCATGACGTGGCGCTATTTCCGTGCCGTGCTGGACGTAGAGCTTACGTAGCAGCATGTTGCAAGACATCCGACTACAGTACTTGTCATAAACATTGAACATCTCCGACCGCTTGGACTGCTGACCCCTTATGGTGGGAAAGGTGCTGGCGGAGACGCGACGGGAGCTACGTGTTGAGCAGCAACAGAGCTTTGCAAAAAAAAAAAAGACAAAAGCAGACAAACAAGGTGCGGTTGAGACTGCTTTTACGTGGTTTTAATGCCAAATAATTTATAGGGACTCTTGCCAGGGTCCTAGGGGGATTTTTATGCCTACCTTGTACTCCGTGGKCATACACAGAAGTGTGAAGCTTTTGCAAAGTGGCATACACAACAGTAAAACTACACTTATGCACTTTGAGAGTTCACAACCTCCCAGAAATGTTGCATCTTCTCTCGTTGTTCTGTTTTGTTTTGAATCAACATGTTTTTAACTGCATGGGAACAAAGCAAAAAAAAAAAAAGAAAAAAAGACAGAAAGACAGACACCTCTTCAGCTTTTTAAAGAATGCCTATCTTTGTGAGCCAGCTTGTATTCAATAGCATCTTTGGCACGTTCAGAAAGTAATGCTAGTTACAGTGTTAGAGGATGCCACTTTCTTAAGGTCTTGATGTTGGTAGGACTAGAGGTTCACAAGTTAAGTATTCAGTGTACAAAAGTAAAAGGTATTTAAGGGCTTAAGTTCAGTCTGAACTTTTTTTGCTGCAGGCATGTGAGTGAACGGGGGTATTTAGCTGATTGCTTGACTGAACAGCAGAAGAAGCACTAACAAAAGTTTGTTTCTAAATCTTTTACTTGATCTAGATACATATATTGTTAAATATAAAATTCAGGGTAAAAATCCTTCACTTCCATGTACATTACATGGTTTACTACAATTAAAAATAATACAATACTTATGCTATTTTTTAAGTATAGATTTAGAGCTTGCTTAGAATTTAAGATCCTAATGAATTATGTAGATTAGCTAGTAATTTTCAAAGAAAACTTTTCTTTTCCAGACTCTTAATTTGTATTTTTTGGGGCCAACACTATGTGTTTTTTGCAAGTTCGTTACCAGTAGTTTGTGAATGCCTGTGGATCAAGGGCTTGCTAGCTGAGCTTAGTAAATTAAGTGTATACCTATTACATGGCTTGTTTCTTATGAAGAACTGAAGAGCTCTTTCAGCTTCAGTCAGATTACTCTGATTAATTTGTGGTGCTTGTAAAACCTCAGTGACATGTGTCAGGATAGACTCTGGCTTCAAAACTCGTGTGGTGGATGCAGGAAGTGCAGTTAGGGATGGAGGGAAGGAGAAGGTCTGGCTGCTTCTCTCGGACCAGAAGAGGTTTGTGGTTTAGGGGCAGTACTTTGGAGTTTGAAGCCAGGAAGCACACAGTTTTCCTCCCAGTTTGGTCTGAGGCTATGCCAAAGCTCTGCACCTTCAGGTACAGGAAAGCAAACAGGTAAYGGATGTCAGCACTGCTACTGCTGCAAACTTCCCCAACCCACCCCCTGAAAGAGGGCTTTTTATTGTGGTGATGTTGTTGTGTGTGATTTCAATCAAATAACTGATTGAAAATGCTCGGTTTGGTTCTGTAGCCTTGTAAATGGACTTGTTCTGGTGGTGGTGGGAAATCTGACTGCTTGTAGGCATTGCAGAGTAATGTGTGTGGCATGTTTTTTATTATAAGTGAGCTGTAGAGATGCTTAGTGCTGAATATCTCATTTTTTTTGTGAATTGGCAAGTGCCTAGCGCAATAGTTTAACTTGGCAAACAGGCTTGCTAGGTACAATGCAGCTTCTAAACAAAATAACCTATCCCAGTTCCTGAATGCCCAGCCACAGGGATACTGGGCTTCAGCTATAGCACAGATCGGTGCCCAAGGCCAGGGCGCAGGCCTCGGTTAGGAAACATTTGAAAGCTCAGCACTTCCTTAAAACTCACCTCAAAAATGACTGTCTGTTAGTGTCAGCTCCAGTAAGGCTGCAGCCAAATGCACGTTTCTGATCAAAATTTGATGTAGATTTCCTCGTTGATTAGTTCTGTTGAAAGTATAAACCCTTGGATGTGTGAGAAAGATATYTTATCTAAATGCATGACCTGTTAGAGAAGCTGTACTGTATATACAAATCTGCTCAGTTCTGTATCTGCTGTTTAGTAGTCAAGCAATTTTGTTTTGTTTTTCCCTTAAAGTTTTGCTTGTGCCTTGAAATTGGGTTACAGCTTGATTTTCCCCAATTCCCTTCCTTTTAAGCAAGACCAGTGCTGACTGAATGGTTGCTGCTGGATACTCAGCCTTTTTTGGCTCTGAAAGCACATGGGAAAGTGCTATGGGGAAACCAGGCCTCTCGAGTAGATTTTTCTCCCCTGTTACCTATCAGGCAATTGACCTATTTCTTTTTCTAAGGTCCTGAAACTGTTGTTGGTTTTTATACTGTTTTGTTTAATGACAGAGGCTTGTGTTTCATTCCTACCCCTTTATTATRCATTTAACTTTATCAGGTGTATCAAGTTTAAATACTGTGTATTTATCACTTTTAAATTATATTACCTAAGGAAACAAAAATAGGTGTTTTTTTTTTTCCATACAGCTGTTCAAGCTTCTCTGTACAAGTTGAAATAAACAACATACAACCAAACGCAGAGTTAGTCTATGAAGTGGACCCATTATCTTGTTTGACCAGTCTGGTGCAAGCTCTAGGAGTTTGCTTTTTAGAAGGGGAGRAGGAGATTGACATTGTGTAATTGAAACTGAACCAGTAACACTCACTTACTTGAGAGCTCCGTCCTGCAGCAGCACTGGTCCGAGTTGTTACTCTCGGCTTAGTGCTCAGCAGTGCAGGGCAGATAGTGTCAAGATACAGAATGGGACAAAACTGCTCCGTGGTACCAGGTGATGCTTTAGCCTGCGCACTGCTGGGAAAAGGCAGTTAAGATGACCAAGATGACTGAGGTCTAGAATAACTTCCGGAACTGTAGTATTAGAAAAGGTTCAGAGAAAGGAAGAGCTGTTCTTTGCATGTCCCTGTTCTTGCTAGAGAAGCTCAGAGTGTCCTGAAGGTAGCACTCAACAAAGGCACTCAAGTCAAACAGAGCAAGCACAGTAGTTAGAGATGCTGCTGTGTAAAGTGAAGGCAGTTAATGGGCCCTCATCCCTTTAGGACCTGGGGAAGAAAAACAGCTTGCTGGTCTCCAAGATTGCTCATAGAGTACTTTATTTTAAATGACAATCAATTTTAAAATAGTAGCATAAAACTAGTTAAACAGGASGGGGGAAAATCTTGTAAACAGTAAGTCATTCACCCAACACCACTTGCTGATGTAGCACAGTAAGACTGGGCACAGCTTTATCTCAGCTTGTGGTCACTAGAGTCATAAATAGTGGGTATAGTCTTAGCTAAACTTATTTAAATGATCCTTTAGAGTAAGAAAAAAATTATTTGATAACAGTACCAAACTGTTCAGCCAAGGCTGGGCCACACMTAGCAGGGGCCCTGTTCACCCTATGGAAGAATCTGTGGCTCTTAAGGGCATTGCAGCTCTCTGCTAGCACTGACCTCAGAGGAGAAGGGTTGTTGAGATGACTGCAACAGCCCCTGGCCCAGGGAGCTTGTGCAGAGGCCTAGCACAAGAGCATCCCTTGGTGCTTTGCAAAGTTACCCTGGAAAAACAGGAGAGGAGCAGCAGATCCAGTTCTTCTCTTTGGGGGTAGGCTTGGACCAGCAGAGGTAAGCAAGCAGTGAACAGGGCTTGTTCCCTCCTTCCTTCTCCTCCAGAAAGAGGWGTTTCAGAGGGCAGGTTCAGAGTAACATTCACAGCAGCACTTCACAGTCAGCAGTTGGGGCTGCAGCAGCAGCAGGTCAGGAGTCTGTTCCATATTTCTCACTGCCACCCTGTAAGAACTGGAGATTAGTTCTCTGCTAGAAATGGTGTCCRTAGAGCATCACAGCCTCTTTCACCTGGCTTTGACAGACTGCTAGAAAAATGGTATCTTTCTACCCCTTCCTCTCAAGCACAATGGCTCTGTACACAGAACCTGCTCTCAGGAAAAAGGCCTTCTGATTCAGAAAGCCACTCCCTGCAGCACTACCTCACTTTGCTCAAGGGCTTACAGGGCACAGCTCTACCMTAAGCACCAACCAAGCAGCCCCACAAGGGGCAAGGAGGCCTAAATCCATCTACTGATTGAAAGGATCATTTAAGCTCTGTAGAAAGCACATTTCATGGATTTATTCAGAGGAGCAGGAGCTCTTGCAAAGCCTAAGGAGGAAGCACTTGATGGGGACRGTAGAGCTGTCTGCAGTAGGCAGCAGGCAACAGCCAAGGACTGCAACTCAGAAGGGTGGGATGGGAGTGTGACAAGTTCTTGAGAACATTCACTTCCCTCTTGAGGAGTGGTTACCCAGGAAACATGACAGTTTTTTCCTATATTGCTTCTCTCCTCCATAGATGTGAGGCAGAAATGAGCTCCTCTGTGGAAGAGAGAATTTCCTCCAAGCCGTGGTACGAAGTCCACGTTTGCCATCAGTTTCACACATGCCATTTCAGAGAATCCCTCCCAAGCAAATTTGACTTTGCTCTGCCTTTCTGCTTACCAGTTCATAATCCTCCACATATTTGTATTTCTTCTCCCGATAGTAATATCTCTTCTTCATGCAATACAGGACAACAATGTCGCATAGGACGGTTGCCTATGTGTTAAAGATAATGTTAAGAAAAAGAGCTTAAGATAACAATCCTCAGAACTGAGGCACCGACTCAGAATTCAGTCCAAGTGCCAACAGGGTCACTTACCACTCCGAACAGTGCTAAGCCAGAGCCAATGTTAATCATTGTAGGAATTATGTCAAATTTTCCTGCCTAGAAGACAATTACAGAGGTGATTCTTTTTTTTCCTTTCTTAGCATCTCTAGAAGCCCCAAACTGCTAAGAATCAAGGTGTCCTACCTTTCCAAACACTATGATATCAAAGCGGATGCCGTAAGCTTTGGCAAGGGTCCGCGATTCAGTGCCATTCTGATCCTTGTAGTATTTTGCAAACCTGAAAAAAAGATGGGTCAAAGTTTAGCTGGGGATTTGGGGGTTTCTGAAGTGAGTCTCATGCAACACCCAGGCGTGTCTCCCCTCCCAACAGGATGGATGAATAAATACACTTCCAGAGTCAAACCACAAATGATGGAGGGAGATTACATGCAGGCGAACACTTAAAGGAGAAAAGCCTAGACTTTTTAAGCTAGTTTAACATAGCCACTAGCATCATCCAAGGCAGGAGACTTCTGAAGTGTGGGCAGGGGAGCGTGTTAGCTTTAGCAGGGAAGGACAAGGACGCAGGGAAGAAAAGCAGCTGCATTAGACTCAGCTTCCTTGGCCAGGGCAGGCAGGAGGCTGCAGGGGAGCCGGCAGCCACGAGAGGGCAGGGCTGGGAGCAGGTAGCCAGGAGCAGCATCACAGGCACGAGCAGCTCCTTGACCTGCACAACGTGACACGCAGGCAAATGATGGGGAAAAGGGAACAGCACAAATAAGTGAGATCAGACTTACTCTGTCACATGGTTGACTAAGCCAGGAAGAAGCAGTGAACAGGGCAGAAGAAAAGAAGGGTGATTGGTATGAGCCTGCACCATGTTCTGGAATTAGCAAGGGCTCTTCAGAGCCTCTACCAGCTGAGCTGCCGCATCCTTCAGCTCCTCCAGCCTGAACACAGCACCATAACCTCAGCACACCTGATGCTCACACACTGCAGACCTGCCACCCTTGTCCCATCATCTTTCTCATGGCAGCAGTCGCCCCCCACACATCCAAAAATAAGCCTCCTAGGTCCCTGTTTGAAGGAGGCACTGTGCAGACCCAAGATCACAGCCCTGGATGGCAGTCAACTCACACTATTGCCACCAGAAGAATCCTTCGGCTAACAGACTCTGTGACTTCAGAAATATATGCATAGCCCTGTGCCTTATTTCCTTACAAGCAGGACTGTGACCAGTTCATATTTATAGCTCTGAGCCCTTGACGCAGCTAACGACCTGGTTCTGCACTCACTGTTTTACTGGACATGCTGACACCAAGCAGAATTAGACTGTATAACCAAAGGATGCTCCTAGTGTACAGCTGGTCTTCAACTGACAGTCCCACTTTCTGTAGCGCTTAGTGGAGTTTTCCCACATATTTTTGCATACTGCAGGAGGCCCCTCACTCTCCCACACTGCCACCTCAAAGACTGCTATACAACGCACATTAAGATGACCAGCTGTCATGTTGACACACCACAGGAGGCCGGCCCAAATGGGCTCCTAAATGCTGAAGCAAGTGTGACTCAGGCAGCCTAATGCAATCAGTGGAACTTCACTGGCCTCCTCCTCTGCTGTGACTTATACACAGTGAGCATCTGACATGCCCTAACTCTTACAGCATGAGAAAAACTCCCCAAGCAATATACCTCCAAGGTGATCCAGCCAGAAGAGTGCAGGCAACACTGTCCTAGCAGAAGCGTGAGCCACAGGGACAGCAGGGCCACCTTCCACAGGCACATTACCTGAAGTTGTACCCAGGTGACACATTGTGGGCAGAGTCCTTGCTGTCGAGGCGACGGAAGGAGTACCTTGGCACACAGTGGGAAGCAGCTCTGTCAAGGTTGCAGTCCCAGTTGATCTGCAGCCCCATGACTCCACCCTGCAGAGCAGAAGAGTGAAGGGAATGTGAGCAGGAGCATCCAAGTGGCTGGCTGCTCAGCCTAGCAGAAGGCTGCCAGCTGACTAGGACCCCCATTTACCAGCCCATGTCATGGGCCCAGTCAAACACTCTTCCTTCCCCTCTCTCACAGGAGGTCTTTATTTTGCATTTATCTCCACCCAAATCAACCAAGGCCAAATAATTAAGCAGAACTTACTCCGGCCCCCATCACTGGCCAGAGATGCTTTCCCTTTTGCAGCCACTCTGTGTCCTGTGTTCATGCCACCAAGCATGGGGGAACACCACCTCCTTCTCCTTTTTCAAAGAGCAAAGCCCTGAGAGAAGGGTCTGCCAAATACCTCCACAGCCATTTCTTGGAAGTTCTGCCCTGCAGCTTCAACTATTTTTCCTAAGCGAAAGATAGGACAGAAGGGATCTGTTTGGGAGTCATAGATGCAGTTCTTGAGGTAGGTGGAGTTGATAGTGGGGAGGATGTTTCGCCTACAAGGGAACAGAGAAAGAGAGGGAGAGATCTGTTACATCTTCTTCCCACTTCTCCAGCTCCCCTTGACTTGACAAGCCCAATATTGTGCTGTGCCCCACACACGACTTACTTGCTGAAGTTGAACTTTGGATACCAAATGTTGTTCTTCACTAGAATGGTAAAGTTCTCCGCTTCTTGTAGGAACGCTGGCCTGCAAAACAACAGGGAAAGTAGGAAAACCTCACTCCAGTCTTCAAGAACCTTATGATACCGCAGCAATATCCCAGTGTAGAGTTACTTTCCTGGCTGAAGCATGCATGTACAGGTATTAAACAGGACACTCTAAGCTCCAGAGAAGCTGGGTGTCAAACTAGCTGACATCCTATGCCTACTGAAGTGACTGCAGAAGCAAATATGACACCACATAGCTCTGAATCASAGGTATTAGCTCTGCTAGGCAGTCCTTACTGCACGCCATGGATAGTGAAGGGGGCACCACTCAGAGCTACTGAAAATGAAGTTTGTTTCAATTGCTCCATGTTACTCATCTGACCTGACGCAACTGTCTCCCACAGCACTGGTGAGTCACATCTCTCACCCAGCTGTGCACAGAGCTGGCTTTGGAAAGCATGACCCTCACTGTGACTGCTCCTGCTAACAGGCAGTGACAGGTCTCATTTATTCCCCCACTCCCATCCTTGTCTCCTTTGTGGCCCTGCTTGGTTTATCTGTCACAGTGTTTGCACGGTCTGCGGTGATATCTCTTCAGCTTTTCCCAGCTGAAGACCATAAGGAGAAATATCAGCGGTTGCCTGCATGCTGCTGGCCTCGTGTCTCAAGGCCAAGGCAGACTAGGAAGACAGGGCACTCACTTGGGAATATAAGAGTCRTTCTCCACAGGGCACCATGCGAAGATCTCACAGGTCTTGATGCTGCTGTTATATAGGACACACTCCCCAGTCTGAATGCCTGGAAAGACATTAAAATGGAGGCAATAACAAGCAAAAAAGAGAGGCAGACAGAGGCCCTGTTGTGTCTCTTCAGTGCATGAGAGCAATCTGCTCAGAGGGAAACGTGTCACTGCCACTGCCCAAACCCCTTATTCATTACCTTCCAGTGCAATTTGTAGCACAAGTTCAGAAAGAGAGGCATCAACTCCCTTTCCAAATCAAATTCTCAAATATGTATGTGAATTACTGCTTGCCAAGTGCTCATCTGTCCAGCATCTACTCAGCAGGAGTCTATCTGATTTCCCACAGAAGAAAGACCTGAGGTTCCTTATGAGTTCTGAGATGCAACGGAGAGAGGGTAAGGGGACTCAAGTGAAACACAACTGCCTTCACAGGGATAAAAGCAGAGCTCAGGGACAGCACAACACAGTCAGAAAGGAGCCTCTGCAGCAGCCTTCCTACCATTGCTGTGGGTGCCAACGTATCCTGGAGCACAGTCTTCCCTTGCTGTGCATATTGTTGTATCATCTGGAAGCTGGAGAGGAACAATAATTACCCTAAACTGTACAAACTCACACACACACACACTTATTTTCATGCACACAGCTCAAGATTAGATCCTTCTAGAACCAAGCAGATCTTGTACCTACCTCAGGGCAGCGGCCTTGCATCTGGTTCAGTGTGAGTATCACATTTGTCATGATAAACACTGAGTTTTCTCCCTGAACATGCAAAACAAGAAAGCAACTTAAGCATGGCAATTTGCAAAGAGTAACCCAAGTGCTTCCCTGACTGTTTTTTTCCTGACAGAGTCCAAGTGGCCCTGACAAACAGACTTGCTTTGGACAGTGCAGGTGTAGCACTAAAAGAAGAGGCTCCTACTGTATCACCTGATTGAATTTGAACAGTGTTGGTTTGTTTCTGCAGGGTTCACCACCTCCATTATTTTCAGATCCCTGCAGTTGGGATCTGTCGCTTGCTTTTGCACTACTGATTTGTAAATGCAATCATCCAGCCAAAACGTGGCTAAACCTCACACTTATTTCTGCACCACATCTCATGCACAGAGTGCACTGTGAGKGGCAGCCCGTCCCATGTTTGCAGGCGCTGATGGCCACGTATTGCCTGCTCAGCGCAGATTCCCGTAGCCACGTCAATCAGTAACTTAGAGCAGTGCTTCCTGCTAAGTTCCGGATCAAGTGACTTGCAGATTACCCCTAGAATTTGTGCCAGCAAGTTAATGTTGAACAGTTTGCTTTAGAGAGAAGTAGGAGAGAGGACATGTGGTTACTGTCACAGCTATTTTCCTGAAGACTGCAGTATTCTCTCCCCTACACACTCTCCCTCCTGGAAGCAAGTTTCCCCCGGGAACTGCAGATGCTCAGGTTGATGTGGGACAAAGCAAAGCTGTTTCATTCGCTCATCCTCCTGCAGATGGACCATACTGGTATAAAAGCTGCTCCAGACGGCAGTGGACTAGGGCAAAKCAATGGACTAGGGCAAAGCAGTGGCTGTTTGTTAGAAAACCCTCCTGCTGCCTGCGAAAGCAATTCATACCTGAGGAGGGATGACATAGTCAGCTACATCCCAGATCCTGGTTCCCAAGCTGGAGGTGTTTGTCAGAGTTACTCCTTTTACCTTTGTGGTTACAGAACTGACCACAGAATCTGTTTCCTGGTAGCCCTTCTCCCACAGAAAGACCCAGCTGCAAGAAAACAAAACAAAACAAAATAGCTAAACATCATAAGCTGTCCCAGGCAGTCGGAATGTCTATTTTTTTCCCATACCACTTGAAAAGGCCAGTCCAGATAGTTTCACACCATTTTTCTATGAATGTAGCACAGGACCAGCAATCTCCATGCTGATTTCTTCAGAGTGGTTTGGTACTGTAGACCTTCCAACTCTTTTTCATGAGGGTTGATCTTCCCAGCACCTACAATACCGCAAACTTCTGCAGCAGGAAAGAAACCTAGCCCTGCTGCTTCTCAAGACAAGTACATCAGTACCTAAGGACTTAAGGAAGCAAACACAGAGCCAAAGTTTGGAGCTTTGAATTCAATTTTAGGCTTGACTGKAAGCAGCTCTTGTCAGGGTCCATGACAGCGACCGTATTATGCACAATAACATGCAYCAGGTGAAGACCATTGCAGAGAGGAAATATCACTGGGGCCATCTCCCCTCCTGAATGCAATCAACCTGCGTGTAGCAGCCTCCAAGCAGACCTACAATCACCAGGCAAATGCCAGGCTGCTCATTTCAACGCTCAACACAGTCAGGATGGCTCCCTACTGCTATGCCAGAGCTGGATCTGGCCCTTCAGTTCTGGCTTACATGGTCTCTTTTTGGATTATTATTTAGATATTGAACCWGGAAGAGATCTTCTCTTCCTGTACATTTAATAAATGAACAAGCAAGAGATAAGTAGGATGCTCAGCACAAACCCTCCTAGTAGGAGGGGATAAGGCAATTCTGAACACCYAGCATGTCCAGTTATTGGCTTCCCTAACCACCTGCCTTAAAGTTAAATAATAAGTACAGTTTTGAGGTTTCAGCTGACATTTAGTGTACAAGCTATACAATCACATCCTCGGCTGCCAGCGAAGGATTGTTCTTTTCAGAAAGCATCTCAGTACAAGCAGAAATTAAGTTTAAATTTATAGTTTGCACAGATGTTTCTCATATATATATATATATATATTTACAAATTGAAGAGTCCACAATAAGAAAAGAGTAAAGGAGGAAGATTTTACATGCAGCAAAATCTTTGCTGCTGTGAGCAGCAGGAGCAGCACCCGTTCCCCTCTTGTTCACAGGGATGGGGCCACAGAAACAGCAGGAAAGCAAACATTATGATGATTATTTTAATATCGCAGATTTTTGTTTGGCTTGCGTTTAAGAATCAAAGATGCCTTCTGCGCCTGCTTTTCTTTGTGGGCTGACAAATTTTGACTTAACTCAAATCCGCCTAAGAAACCTCTCCTTCACCTGTCACTGATAACCCAGGGCAGGTGTCCCTGGAGCTCCCCTGATGTTTTGTCCTACACAAAATGCCTCCAACACCCTTTCGCCCCCCGACCTCTCCTTATTCCCACAGCAATCCCCGGGCTTTACAATCCGTGGCCGTTGCTGCCTTTAAACRTGGCTCTACTGCACGCCCCTCTGCGCGGCCCCTTCCCGCCCTGCCGAGCCCTGAGGGGCGGCCATGTCRTGGCAGCGCCAAGGGGATGGCCGGGCCGGGAGGCTCCCGCCTGGCAGCGTGGCCGCAGGGGAGGGCAGGCGCCCCGAGGGGAGGCGAGGCGGCGCGGGGGCGGCTCTCCCGCGCTCACCCGATCACGTAGGCAAGGATGGCGAGCTGCACCAGGCGGTTGACGAGCCCCACTTTGCGGCTCCGGATCAGCACGATGCGGGGGGTGTCGTACTCGAAGAGGAAGCTGTAGAAAGCGCCGCAGGACACCATGGCGGCTGCAGGAAGGAGGGAGGGAAGGAAGGAAGGAAGGAGGGYGGGAGGGAGGGAGGCAGCTGTGCTGCCGGCCTCCCTCCCTCCCGCCCCGAGGCACCTCGCACCGGAGCAGCCCTCAGGCGCCTCCTCCACCCTCTCCCGGCTGCTTTACCTGCTGCCTGGGGCTCTCGGGCTCTGCCCCGAGGCCCCTGGCCGCTGCCCTGGGCGACATGGCGGCCCGCGAGGCCTGTGTCCTCCCGCAGGCGGGAGGCTGCTGGCCTGGAGGCAGCATTAGAGGCAGAAGCCAGGCTCATGTGGAGCCCACGCTGGGATCTGCTGCTCCCTCTGTGCGGCCGCGGGCTCCGCTCAGCCTCCGAGGATGCTCCTGTGATGGGTTGGGGGGTTTCTGTGCCCTCTTCACCAAGGGAGCCCACACGCACACATGYGCTACGCGAAGGCCGGCTCCTGCCAGACTGTTTGCCAGCCTGAGCTTTTCCTGTGCTACTTGTCAGCAAGTTCAYGGAGATTTGTTTTCTGTCAGCTGCTCTAGAGCCTCATGAGAGGTTAGCAAAGATTTAATAAAAACAGACAACATGGGGATCCCATTCCCTTTACCTGCTAATTCCATTTCTGAACTTCCCACCAAGATCTTGGCGATTAGAGCTTTCCTTTCTGCAAAGGGAATGGGTATTTCCCTCACTGCCTTACTCCAGCTGTAAAGCTTCCTCCCTGTCTTTGGAGTCTCACCATAGGGCTGGGAGAATTCACGGGCATCAGGAAAGAAGCTTTTGCAAGCCGCTTCTCAGATAACTGGGGAGAGAGAGAGTTTTATCAAATAACAAATACAGCACGGAATAAGACAACCTCCAAGCTCCTACGATGTACAAAAACATTTGGGAAACAAAAATTTTCTGTTGTTCTTCTCATGTCATTGATAAGGGGAAAAAAAAAAAAGACTGAATTCTATTTTATTTTCTAATAAATCTTTTAAAGAAGGTTCCCCAGCCAGTGTCCTGACAGCTGTTTATATGGACACCCCASAGCAGCACTGCCATGGCTTTTGAAACGCCAGGCCATTGGAGAGGAGAAGGAAAGGTTGTTTTCAGTGGATGTGAGGACTCAAACATGCAGAGTGCAGATGGTCACAGAAGGATGCTAAATAGTCCAGAGCAGCCCAGAACATATTACCTCAAAGACAGGAATTTTTCACTGCCTTAGGGAAAATAGTAATAAAAATCTACCAAAGAGGCAACTAGTATGTTCAAATCATCTGCTGTACTGCTTGTTGTCTCTCCTGACACTGTGGACTCAGCTGTGGCTTGGGAAGAGGGCAGTGTTCGAATCAGTCAATAATCATAAGCACAGCATGGCCCTAGTGCTGCTCCTGATGGAATCAATGTGGCATTTGCTCTATGGAGATAATTGGTGATTGTGTCCAGCTGCTGTTCTGCAGACAGGATCTTGCACTGCCTGTGCTCCATACCGACCAGACAGGAGTCAGCTGTTACCTGCAAAGCTGCTGCAGGCAGCTCCACACTGAGCGCTGGACAGATGACCCCAGGAAGGGGCCATCTGAGACATAATTTCCAGTTGGCTCGAAGCAAGGACAGAGCATTTGCCTGTGAGAGATAGCAGAAACAAATCTAAGACAGTTACCTTCCCACATCCAGCGAGCAAGTCCTTTATTTGTCTTCTGGCAGGCTTCATCTAAACTGGCTGTGGGGATTTAAGGCACTGTAAAACCATTAAAGAGATTTTGACTCGGCTGCAGATTTGTAAAATGCTCTATTAAAAAAAAAACAGTCAAAATCAGTATAAGAAAAAAGAGATGATAAGGAACATATATAAAAATCATGACATGATATTTACAGCATAGTCTCAAGTGAATATCCACTCTTTCCAAAAGGAAAGCCAGTGCATCTGTCAGAACTGAAAAGGATTAGTACAAACTGTAATCTTTTACCATTCTAGATACATGAAATGCTGCAGTGAGAAAGCTAGAGCAATTAATGTACATTACAACTGAAGATAGCTAAATACAACTAAATATAGCTTGCATAATCTGCCAGTAATATATCTTAATAATTATGTGGGCAATTGAAATGGCAAGCTGCTGGGTTAGCGCAGAAAGAAAAAAGCCTAGTTGAAAGAAATRGGGAATATACATTTTACAACCCTTCTCACCTTGTTTTATAAAAATAGAACATGTCAAAGTATAACAAAAGGAAAGAACTGAAAAGGTGCTGAAGCACATTTTAATCTAGCCTGAATTTGCTGCCCTTTGGCTGTACTCTGGCCTCATGCCCTCACAGCACAAACCAACTCTTATTATTGCCTAGTTTAGTGTAAGTAGAGATGTAGAAGGCAAAGCCTGTTTGAAACTAAGAGCAAACATGAGGCCAAAGTCTAATGTTAACAATTTCAATGAGTATGAATTAATTGTCTGAAAATATAACAGGACGATAAAAATATATTTCGTTGTAATTCCCGAGTTTAAAYGGAAAGGAGTAATACAAGGAGAACAGCTGGGCTTTTCAGAAAATGCTTTCTCTGTCACTGAAATCGTCCAAGATGAGCCTGTTTAAGCTGGACACACTGTGCAGCCTGCAACAGGGAGTTATGAAACTTTATTCATGGTGGCCTCCTTCTAGAGCCTCGCTATCCAAGGCCCCATAACCCTATCAAAAGAGGGGGATGACAGAAAAGCTCAGGACCATATTTTCAAGTGATGCCTCTTTTGGACTTCCTTTCTTCAGGGGTTATGCTTTGAGATGACTCTTGGTTCCATCTTATTTTTCAGGGTTTGGATCACCTGGCTCAGTGTGATTCTGGCCACATTCTGATGAATGCAGAGGCAGGAGGCCTGGAACCTCCCACTAGAACAAACCTACAAGAATTCACCCAGAGGCTACATTTCCCAACTATGGTCTAGGTTCCACACAGGATGACTCAGAGAAGCAAAAGCAGAAGCAGCACTTTAACTCAAAGTAATGGTTCCTCCAGCTAAGACATAGGCATTTCTGCCTCTGCAATGACAGTGTGTACAGAATTCAGTCAAACAAAGATTTGGGGAATTCACATCTTCCCTCCACCGCCTTTTTTTTTTTTTTTTTTTTTTTGAGAAAATAAAGGCTAAATGCCCAGGTTAAAAAGTTGAAAGTTCCCGTGTGAACTCAAATTGTGCTACAACATCCTCATATAGCCTTAAAACCAGTATAGTTGCCACCGTCTTTGGGGTAAGTATTTCTGATCTTCCACCTGCAGCAGCTTGGGACGACAGCTCTGTCTTCCAGATCAAAAGAGCCAAAGCGCCAGTGGATATACTGCTTGAAGGCACAGCGACGCAACTTGTCATTGACATTCCTACTCTCCAAGTCCAGAAGGGGCTCTTTGTAGAGAAGAGCGTCTTTCAGGTTGTCTCTGGACAGCACTAGTCGCTCAAATAAAGGGGAGGTTGTGATGCATCTCCCTTCTTCCTTTCGGCAGCAGAGCTGCTCATGGAGCTTCTCTGTTTTCTGGCATTTCCCACAGCAGCACCACGCTTGGGGGGCCTGGGAGAAGGCCATTTCCCTGCGGACAGGCTGCATCTCATGTCCTTTCTTAACAGAATCCTCGTTGGAATTATCAGTGCAGCAGTTGACAGAATCAGAGAATTTCTCAGGGTGCCTCTACAACAACAATTCCCAAGATAAATTGAGGAAAAAAGACAATATTTGCTGCTTCACCCCTCTCCAGAGTGAATTTAGCACAGTGATCCTCACCATTGGGCTTTTCACTTGACACACCACACAATAGGCATAATGACGACAGATCAGCAGATCTGGAGGAGGATAGTTTTTCTGTGTTGCCAGCACCCACTTCAGTGAAACCAAATTAACACCTCACAAGTTGTTTCAACACCAACGCACTCCCACTGGCACATATACACCATGGAAAGCAGCAGTTTTAAGTGACTCTAGAAAACACATCCTCTGGTCACAGGATTTATTAACTGGAGGCTGGCAACAGGACTCTAGTTTTAGCTCCTCAGAGGTAAAAAAGATCCTAGTCATTTGGGAATGACATTCCTCGGTTTTCCCTCCTGAATAGGGAATTCCAAAGGTTTGTACCTGTCCTTACCTCAACGATGTTGCCTTTAGCATGCTGCAAGCTTGTTTCCAGGGGTTCCATTATCAAGGTAACATGTGGCTTATCAACATAGGATACGTATATCACCTACGCAGCAAAAGAAATGAGCATCATCAACTGGAGTAGCTATTTAGAGAACGGGGGATAAGCGCTGCATAGATTTGGCTTCAGGGCCTGAGTTCCATAGCCTGTATTCAGATATCAATCCCGTGCAGCTACATGTGCCAAGGGTAGATATTCCTGGTATATGGAACGATAAGGACACAGGGAGCACAGGGAACAGTCAGAGGGAATAGGAAGAGATGGTATAGAACTATCTATCTCTAAGAGTGTGACCGTGCACAGCCTATAGATATCCTCCTCTTCAACTTCCTTAAAAAGAAAAAACACTCTAAAATTAGGGGTTGGGAGGACAGTAAAGTAAGTTAAGAGAAGTAGTCAGTAACATCTTGAAAAAGAGGAAAAGGCAACTGAAGTTGGCAAGAAGGAGCCTTTGGACAATGCCCTCCTTAGGTAAAACTTTCATTATGTCCTTCTGCTGTTACTATTCTTGTAGGTTCCTGCGGGTTCTATGGATGTTAGCATGAAAAGGAGGTAGCAGTTCCCTGTGCCAGTTCCTTTCTTCACTGGATCCTGCAATCACTCTCACAAAGCTCCCTGATCTCCCAAACCCTGGCCATGTGCATGGTGCTGGAGAACACAGTGGTGAAGTAGGAATGAGCCGTCTACATTCATGAATGGTCTGGTCTGAGGAATTTTTGTAGCAGCAATTTACATTCCTTACCCATTTTGGATTCTGCACAGTCTCATACTTCTTTTTGTAGTGATATGCCCTGACAGGTGATTTGCAGCAGCTGCAGTAAGTAATATATAAATCGATGACAAACACAGCCTGCATATGAAAGACAAACCAGTGGTGATTCTGCTTTTCTTATTGAGACCATGGCACCATAAACATAAGAAATAAATCTCTCACCAAGCCAAAATAGGAGATCATGGACCCAATGTACATCACAAGTTCAATGAAGTCAAATTTTCCAGCCTTAAACAAAGCATAAGAGAAATAATAATGGAATAATAATAATAATGGAATAATAATGAAATAATGATGGAATAATAATAGAATAATAATWATTATTATTATAACAGGAAAACAAGGTCTTGGGCCATTCACTCAAGTTTTTGGCATTTCTCTATTAGGCCCTTTACAGTGATGCAACCATCCAATCCCAAAATTTCACACACTATCTTGGAGAGCAAGCAGGAGTGAATAAACAAACTCAGAGGGGGATAATGGGGACACACACACAGGGTTTATGAAAGTCAAGATACTTGTTAGTGGTTCAGCCTGAACAACAATCCTGTCCGACTCCCAGCCCTGCAATTTCATCCTCAGCTTTGCTCTCCTTCATTGTGGGCCTAGTGACACTGAATGACTTTCTCTTCAAAATGATGGACAGGAGACAGAAAAGGGGAATATGGTAGAAGTGGGGCTAAAGAAACAGCAACTTTTCTCCTCTCCTTCCGCCCTGAGGAAAAGGAATTGTATTTACTGTGCCAAAGACAAGGACATCAAACCGTATTCCATAGGCTTTGATAAGAGTTCGCTGTTCCACCCCATCTTGTTGCTTGTAGTGCTTTGCAAATCTGTAAAAGAGCAAATGAAGATGTGTAGCTTATTTGGGGAATATAATGCCACAAGGCTGGAGAAAACAAAAGAGTAAGATAACTACTTCTGCATTCTTTCTCTAAGGATGCTCCTTCTGAAATGAAGGTGCCCAAAGTCAGGCTTGATCAACGACACTGCTCACCACTCATCTGGCAGCCTAAACTAAATCAATACACATATAGATGTTTAAAATCCAGCCTATGTCCCACAGGTTTTTGACTTAATCTAAATCTGAACATGAAGCTGCAGAGGGAAGTTCAGTATAGAAAAAGCAGAAAGAAAACCCTATAGCAAGGATACATGAGGAGCTGGCAATGGCAAGAGTATTCATGCTTGAGGGTTTTCAACCATATTATGTGAATCCAGCTTTGAGCTCCTGATGACATTTTAGCATGCTGGATATCATTCATTTCCCACAGTTTGAGCAGTGGAGAGTAGCAAGGATCACATRGACCTTTATTGGCTAGGCCAGAGGCTTGATTTTACTAGCCCAGAGGCTGGATTTTACTTGATTCCACTCTGTCCTGCACATCTTCCTCCAAGCTAAGTTTGGTAGACTTTTAGAGTGCTTTTAATCAATGTTCCCCAGATCCTGTGATCATTTGCTGTGAATGGGAATTCACTGAGATCTGATTTGTATTCTCTGAAGACAGTGAATCACTCAGAAAAACACAGCATAATGTATTCTGCTTTCTTCTTGCTTACACAGGCATCAAATCCCTTCTTATCTTGTGCTGAAGGGTTCCACAGTCTGTGGCCATGGCATATTTTACCAGGCAGCTCCTAGCCTCTGAAGCCTGCAGCTTTACTAGGTTTTATTTTAAGGTATTTCTAAAACTTTCAAAATCAGAGGGCTTCTCTACCCTGAGGGAGATTATTTCACATTTGCTCTTGATGGCACAGAAGCTTTCTCCTCTGTAACAGCTTTATGCTCAGAGCTAAACCTGTTAAAAGCTTTCTTGATCGTTTGCTGGGGCTTTGCTCCCTTGCACCTCAGGTAGATCTTTTCATTTAAAAGGCTAAAGGCTATTTCTCATTTAAGGCTATTACTAAATTCCCTTTGGAATTCAGCTGAAATCTGGAGGGCTCCAAGCAGGCAGATGTTGCAACCTACCCAAAGTGGCTTTCCTGACAGGTACAACAGCTGGGCTGCATGGGAAGCAGTGTTCTATACATACCCCATTTCTTACACTTTTATCCAGAATTTTCTTCTACTGCTTATCTCTGTGAGCTTTAGGACACTGGGCTGGATGGACCTCTGATCTGATACTAATTTGCTAATCTGATATTAAGACAATATGTCACATGACAAAAAAGCAAAGAAAATAACTATGATAACACATTCATACAATTGCAGCAACTGTAGGTTAAGCATATGCCTACAAGAGTGAAGGAGCATCAAATTTTTGTCATTCCAGGTCCTCCTTTCCTAATCACTGTCATCCCTCTGCTTCAACTTGCTACTTATTCCATTCAACAATTTTTACCTGAAGTTGAAACCAGGATATTTGCTCGTTGATATGTCATCAAGGCGGCGGAAACTATACTGTGGACTGCAGTGGTAGRACCAGTAATCCAAGTTACAGTCCCAGTTGATCTCAATGCCAATGATTCCCCCCTGGAAACAAAAAGAGAAAGTAAGAGGAAACTTTGGGCTAGCACTGTGATTGTGGCTTTTGCAAACTGCTTTTAAAATTACTGGAGATCTGAAGGAGACCAAAGGCAGGGACACACATTAAATGTTGACATCTGGGCTTCATTTGCTCACCAAGCAGTCTGCTATACAAGGAACTTAACTACTGCAAAGGTGAGCTAGAAGGTAGAATTCTTTCAAGCCTTTCCTGTTTTCTGTCTATTTTTCTTCATCTTGATAATACAAGTGTGGGTGTATATTGTGATGGCTATTTTGTTGCTTTAAACTAAATATAAGCTTAACTCGAAATCCCAAGAATAAGCCTCATTTTCTTTAAGCTTCCTATCTTAATCTTTCATCTTGAGCGATCTTGTTAATCAATAAATCTCAGTTCATGATTCTCAGCAGGACACTTTGTTTCTACTTCTACTCCATCCTCCAATTAATATCAACTTTCTATGGCTTTCTATATGTTAAGGATATTTGACTCAATGCACTAAAGAATACAGCAAAAATCTAATGGCAAAAATAAATGGGTTTTGATCCAYAGCAAAAATGTAATGGCAAAAATAAATGGTTTTTGATCCTGAATATAAGCTATCATTTGTGCCAGACTGAATTTTGGACGCCTCTTTTAATCAGCAACAGGATTTAAGATGTATTTTATCAGAATTAAAAGCTGAGTGAGAGTACACCACTGACTGTCTTGATTAGTACTTTTGTAAGTTCCACAGAAATAGACACTAAATAACATCARCTCACTCAGTATGGGTCCTACCCCATGAGATACTGACAACCTTCACTTCCTGGAAGTTAAGATTACTTTGTATCTTATATGATCAGTTATCTAAACCTAGCAGAAATCCATTAGATGGCAGTTTGCAAAACATGCAAGAAGACAAAGAAAAAATGAGCATAAAGCAAATGTAATACCACAAACCTCAACTGCCATTTCAGAAAAATTCTGATTTGCTGCTTGAAGGATATCGCCCAAACGGAAAACTGGACAGAGTGGGGAAGTTATCTTGTTGAATGTGCAGGAAGCATTGAAATTCTGTGGAATATTTTGCCTGTGAAGAACAAACAGTTGCTTAAACTTAAAAACAAAAGCTGTAGCTCTTTACCGAGTAGCATTTACAAATACAGCAAAGGGACTTCACTCTCATTAACCTGTGTTAAAAGTTGTACACATATAACTGTTGTTTTTGTAGATACCAGATCAATACCTCTGTCTATATCTGTATCTCTGTTTATACCTATGCCTGGATATTAGCAGTAAAGTTTTACCTGTGTAAAATAAACACTTCCACACTATAACCTGAAACATATGTGTTGTGTCATGTTTTACTGATTTTACTGCAAAACAAACAAGTATATYTGAATGAACAGTTCTACCACCCAGTGCATTATAAGAAACAAAGCTATGCTAAGAAGCTGTGATCCCAAATCTCCCTTCTTTTCTTGGCTCCTGAAGGATTAATTGGGCTATTTCTATCACAGAAACTTGGTGTTTGTTACTCAGGAAGATAATGCTATGAATACAGAGTATTTTGTATAAAGCAGGTGCCAATTTATGCAATCCTTTCTCAGAACACACTCACTTGTTCTTCAGAAAATATTGAAGAATGTTTAGCACTTACCTGGTATAATTAAATTTGGGGAAGTGGATGTTGTTCTTTATTAGTACTGTGAAGTTTTCAGCACTTTCCAGAACTGCAGGCCTAAAAGAAGCATGCCAAGCATAATYCAATCAAATAACTTCTTTTATTTAAATACATCAATTATTACCTGGAAAAATGTCAGAMGGAGGAATATGATGCTAAGAATAAGAGATTGAAAAGCAGGGACTTAGATGGCTCAGAGAGTAAGAAAGGTATACACAGTTTTCTTAATTTTAGTTATAAATTGTTCTCTCTTTTGCACTTACTTGTGTGGGCTGATCCTAACTGGAATCCTTACATGCTCCTGAAATAAGATTTCTCATATAATTCTTGATACAAAATAGTAGTAAGAAATTTCATCCTTTGACAGTTGATGATTGATGCACAATTAATAGGCAGTTTCACTGCTTGTTCCCATACAGCCATTTACACCAGACCTGAACAGCTAGCAGCTGTGTAAGAATGAGCCACACATATTTCTAGAGGAGATCTCTGGCAGTCAGGAGTGAAGGACATCACCAAAGGTGGTCAGTCCTTCCTACCAGATCCCAGTTTCACCATCCTGAGGATCTTGAGGAGACAGTAGTTTATGTAACTAAGTACATAAGTTGAATGTAGGCACAATGGAAAGTACCTGATATGAGATATGAATAATATATGTTAATTGATAAAGAAATGAAAATAGATGAWCCCATAATGTGAAACTGTCTATAATTCATCCATTGGGTGGCATCTGGAAACCGATCCAAAGCTCTTTTGAAAAGGTTGTAAACGACTGTCCTGCTAGCTAATCTAAGAACACTGCCCTGCTTCTGACAGAATGAAACAATCAAAAATAAAAGATTCTTTCTGCCAACATGCGATTGTTGCTTTGTTCTGCTCCACCCATCACTAACAGGAAGGAAAAGGGAAGCTTCCTGTATAGGAAAACTCATATATATCTTTCCAGAATGTAGGAACAACTGCAGCTTTCCTGTTGTTGGACAAAGATGATCTCTGGATCACAACTCTGTTCCCCGGAGAAGGGAATGGAAACTCCTTTAAAGAACTTAAAAAAAAAAAAAAAAAANAAAAAAAAAAAAAAAAAAACACCCTGCTTAAGGAGTAGCTGCAGGAAGCAGAGTGGGCTCTCCAGGGGACCTGGCAAAGTAAAAAATGTTCAGCCTCTGCAGAAAGCTCTGAATTAGGAATAAGAAGGGATTTATACAAAGAATCATGCCTGAGTCTCTTACAAGCAATGAGTTATTAAAAGTGATAACAGTCCTGTTTCATATGCATGGTACTCAAAAGCTGTTACAGGCTTGGGACTGAGAGAAGCTAAAACTTACTAGTCCTTGGTTCTCTTTGAGAGTAATTTCCATCATAATTTCAGTTGAAATAACACCTTTTTATAAAATAATTTGGCTGGTACAGAAAATAACTGGTACATTTACATCTTAAAACACTGCATGGTTCTGGGGTTAAAGAGAACACTGCTACAGGGCCCCTACACCTTACTGCAGCATTGTTCCCTCAAGCTTTTTCCTAGAGTTTTCTTTAGCTCAGCACTGTATATTACTGCTACTGAGGTTTTCATCCTCTGTCCAGAGAGTTAGCAAACTTTTTATTTCTGCATTTTCCTTGACATCTGAGTTAATGATCCAAATGCCTCCAGTGAATTCAAGATGAGTTTGTGACATCTAAAGCTGTTTATAAGGCAGCTATGTAGATACAAACTGGAAGCTATGACTTCACTGCAATCGTCATTATGAAAAAAAAMCATAAAACAGAGCACAAAAGGAAGTTAGAATTTTTTAAATATAATGAGTACTAACAGCATGGTTGGAAAGGAAACAGTTTTACACACAGGAAAATTCTAGGTATCAAGATGAAGGCTGATTATCCCCAAAAATTCACAACTTTCCCTAAGTAAACCCTTCTTTGACATAAAAGAAAAAGTGCAAATATCTCTTTTACTTACACAGGGGCAGTTTTCTTGGATTCCACAGGGCACCATGCCATGATCTCACAGGTTTTAACAGTTGCATTATACTTCACACATCTTCCTGTTCTAATTCCTGTACAGAGGAGAAACAAGCTCGTATTGAGAAGATACAGCTGTTTTGAGCCATTTAAAGGTATTTTGAAAATGTCAGTGGATCCTTCCTCTATTTTAAGGTAGAAAAGCTATCAGTTTAGATTCTYGCAGCTTTCTGTAAGAAGTTGCAGGAAGAGTTACTCAAAACACTGTCTACCTTATAAACCCTTAATCAACCATTTGCTTGGGTCAACAGTGCATATCACTGTTTGGGCTAGGGGTGAATAATTTCCCCTCACAGTTTTACATGGATTTATCACATCTGAGTACATAAATCAAGAAAACAACAGTCTCATTCAGAAGTTTAATTCAGCAAGATGAGCAAGCTAAATGAGGTTAAAAAATTGGGGAAGACCTTAATTCTTCTTCACTCCTGGAAAGTTCTCCTACAGAGAACCCACCTAGCCTAAGAAAACACATCATGTTCTCTAAACAACTTCAGCAGGCATCCCTAAAACAGGACATAAAACCCTTGACTTATTCTCACAACTACTTAGTCGTCTTAGTTGTGTTACAAACCCTTCAAACAGGCTGAACAGACACTAAATTCAATGGGAGTGACTATGAGACTGGCCCTCATTTACACCACCCCTTCATATACTCGCCCCTTCACATTTTCCATTCCTCTGCTTCACCTTTTTCCTTTTAGTAAGGGTACAAATAAACTGAAAGGAACTCAGTTTTGTAGTTTCGAACTTAAGTTCTCGGRTATCTCTTAGAGTTTGGTGTTTTTCCAAGGCTCTCCAAGTTGGATCTTGCACAGTCTGCACTGGTCAATAACAATATTTCACAAACAATATTTCAATTTGAAAGTGACTTTTTTATACCATTACTCTGTTGATCCACACTGTTTTTTATACATGAAGTGTCTGAAGAGCAGAAAGCATTGGCGAAGGGATACTGAAAAAAAAAGATGTAAAAGAGAAATGTAAGTTTCTCTTTCATTCCATACCTAGATTAAAAGTCTTTCTCAGCCTCAGGGTGAAAATATCAGATAATAAGAAGAAAGGCAATGCAYAGCAAGTGTGGCACTTACTAATCAGTGGCCTTATGAGGATTAAAAGGCTCTGCTACATGCAAAACCAAGCAAACAAAGCCCTTTTCTTGCTTACAGTAACATTTTCCTTGATTATTTATATCCTTTCCCATTTTCCATACTCTACCTTATACTATGAAGCACAGTAAGTCTAATATCAGACTATTTAATTCTTTGTTTGCTCAGAATCTCTCATACTTATGCAGTGAAAGTCACCTTGTATGGAGAAATTACTCTGCAAGGTTCCACTTCTAGGCTAGTTGGATGAAAAAAGAGAACTGCAGCTGTTAGGTTTGAKGTACAGAAGGAGAGGAACAAATTGGCATGACCAAGAGTAATATTAAAAGCACCATATTAACAGAAAAACTGCCAGCAATTCTTTAAATCCAGCATTCTTTCAGATTTTTCTGGAAAGCAGTAGTAAAGCCAGAGAAGCTGCACAGCAATCACTGGCCTGGATGTGGCAGGTAGGTTTGGCCACAAGGTCCTTGCTGCAAGGCACAATCACAACTGCCAACAGATCCCCTGAGAAACACAAAGGCATAGAAAAGAAAATAAGGAATTAAATTAGGCCTTGTGTGTTAGCTACTGAGAGAAAAAGGAGCAGTACTTCCTTGTGCAGCACTGCTCCAACAACCATTGACCTCGTTAATGTCAACATTAATGTTTGTTGTAAACCACTGGCATTTTGCATTGGAGACCGTCATCCAGAGTATAAGTTACAAAGCACATTTACCTCTGCGCACTTGCCCTGAATCTGATTCTCTGTAATGATGACATTGGTGATCACAAAAAAGGAGTCTACGCCCTATATGGAGAAAAGAATATTAACTTGACTGAAAAGTCACACACTTGACTCAGAGCTCAACATTCCAGAATGTGTCCTGGAAAGATGAGGTTTGTTCTGCTCTACCTCCTATATAAAGGCACTCAAATTCTACCAGGCTCGGATCAGGGAAGGCCAGGGGCATCACTAGGATAGCAAGCAGCAGCTAGGGACAAGAAAGCACTGATTTCCTTAACCCTTAGTATTACAACCAAGGAAGATGCATCATTTGATGTACAAGCATTAATAACACAGTTATTTTGGAGTGAATGTCTTCCTGTTTTTAGGATTACTAAATTATTAATTTGATCGYTGAAAAAATATGCAACCAATAGCATTACAGAAATCTCACAAAGAGGGCTCATTTTTTGTCTTATAKTGTAGGTGGAAGGAGAGATCTGGCTTTAAACATTGCAGCCTCTGTGGCCAAGTCTCCTTTAATGTTGCAGCTCGTCTTGGCCTTTATAATTATCCCCTGCCCTGATACCGTAAATACACTGAATTAGAGTATAGAAACACATCAGAAAAGCATCCAGACGTATAAAAGGAAGCTGAATACTGCATTGGCTTTAAGACTTGCCTGCATTGGTATAGTGTATTCTGCTGTATCCCAGATCCATTTGTCTGTCTGTGCCACCCCCTTCACTTTAGTGTGGACGGAGCTGATTACACTGTCCTTCTCCTGGTACCGTTTGTCAAGGAGGAGTGTATATCTGTCCAGGAAAAAYAGAAGGGACAAGTAAAGCTGTAAGAATAAAATAGGTCAGCTCATTTCTGTCACTCTTGGACAGAATGCACTGCAAGATAAAAGTCAAATGGACATTTTAAGACAACTTCTGTGTCAAGATATGCATGAACACTTGAACAAAGTCCCTTTTTGGTTTCACTTCTGCAACTTTTGTTTTTTTTAGAAATCAGCTGAACTATGGAAGACTTTTTTTTTTTTTTTTCCCTCCAGTCTTACATGCTATAGACAACTTAAGGTGACATCTTGGGTGTTCAGAAAGCATTTRTGAAACACTCGCTGTCTGTAATGGTGCTGGATGTCACCCCAAAACTTTCACCCATGATGTGTTGCTGTCACAAATGTTAGCACCTTCTTTAAATCTGGGAATAAAAGGTTTTTTTTTTTGGAAACATCTTTAAAAATCTACTCTTTCATTTTCCACGGTGACTACTTTTTGTGCTTCATACTGATTGTTTCAAAATCTCTCCTTGTGTGGTTTCACTTCTTCACAATTGAATGTGTTACTAACAGGAAGAAGGCATCTCTTCCTTAAGTTGTCAGGAAACTACTAAGAATAATTTGCTTTGAGAAACAAGCCTGCCATTTAGCCATTGGAGCTAACATCATTTTAGGTCAGCAAAAAACTGTTTTGGGAACGATATCTGAAGAAAAATAAAACAATTGACCAGAGAACAATGTTTTGGGATAACCATGCTCTTGGAAACCGGCAGCAGGAACGCAGCTCCGAGCAGCAATAGCTGGGCACAGCACCTTAGTAAGGCAACTTCCATTTCCTGTAAGCTTGATTCTCAGGGAGATTGGGATCAGTCTGTTCAATGTCCTGGCTTGCTGCCTTCCCATGAGAATGAAACCAATTCTCCAAAGTTTTGCAGCTGAACTTTGTTCAGCATACACTTATCACTGTTAACAGCCATACTTTGGCAGCAAAAAGCAAATTCTGCCCTTTTGAGGTAACCAATTACTGCATATTCATAAAACACCTTATTGTTCTTAAAATGCAAGGGGTGGTGCRTTGTTTCATCTGTTAGGTAGATCTAAGCCTGAGGAGACCCTCAGAGCAGACTCTAATCTCAGAAATAGTGGTGTAAATACAAGATTAGTTGATGGAGGTATTCTAAATTTACAGGCTGCAAATGAATGCAAACACCATGATCAGAAATGAAACTGAAACATTTACTATATGGAAAATTCAGTGAACTCTGCCAAAAACACCCCACCCTGTGATCTAGAATCTTAATACTGCACTCCCAAAATGAAGTTCCTGCACAGTTCCCACATCCATCTTCCAAGAACGGTGTAACAAACTGATCTCAATTTTGCTGCCACGGAACTCGGACCAAGGTTGGATTTACCGGCTGAAAGCCAAGCCACAACCAGACAACTCCCATGTAGGCAACAGTCGTTCACCTACAACACAACACCCCGCCACAACGCACTTACCCAACATACACGCTGACAAACAGGTGGCAGATCCATTTCCCGAGTGCATATTTACGACTCTGGTAGTCGACAACTTTTGAGGAGCTGTAGCTGTACAGACACTCCGGAAAGCCACATTTACCCATTGCTGGCACTTTTGAAAACTGCAGCTGCCTCGTGCTGTCTCCTTCCAGCCCCTTCTCAGGCCACACCACTTAAAGGCACAGTCAGAAACCTGATTGATAAGGCAGTGCTAAGAAAGAAAGTCCTAGGCCTTCGAAAGCAATGCAGCTGGGAGAGAGAGGACTGTTATTAACCAAAAAATAGAGAATTAACAAAAGGAAATGGGAGAAAAGGAGCCAGATGCTTCTTACCCATATATAGAGAGAAAGGGATAAATTAAATTCTGTTTTAACTTCTTTAAAATAAGAGAATTCTGCTAAGAATTAGATTGGCTCAGTTTTTCTGAGWGAAAAACAAGCTCTTTACAGACACCCACGTGTATACGCAACAAAGGCTGTTTTCATTTTTTGAATTCCCTTTGACTGAACATCACAGCTGTACTTTAAATTTCTGAATTCAGTCCTTTTTTTTTTTTCTACTCAAAAAGAAAAATCAAAATGTCAGATGCATTAATAGAGCCATTATGTTGCCAAACTACCCCAGCCTTTCAGAGCCAAAAAGTTCTGGGCTAGAAAAAAAGCAGATAATTTCCTGCTAAGTTCTTAAAAGTCCAAATTTTCAGTGTCTGCTAGGGAATTTGCTTTCACAGAATCAATCCAGACATCACAGGCCTTAATTGAAAGCTTCTGGTTTACTGAACAGCTCCTCTGAGGTAGTAGATACTTTCAAAGCACTGTACTCTGATCCAAAGAGACAGAAAGCATTTTGTATTGCATAGGATCAAACTTCCCTCCTTTACAGTATGCTTAAGAGGCCTGAATCTACCTTGTGAATTCAGCACATATATTTCAAAATACTTAGCAGGAACAGGATTAGGGCTCACATGAGAACAGTTACTGTCAGACCATAGGACCGTAAGCTCAGGCCACTTACTGTCTCCAAAAAGGGTCATAAATGGAGGACTAAGAGAAGAATATGAGGACAAAGAAAGTATATAATTTTTCCCCCAAATAATCTCTCGGACTTGATACTCTCCCAGAAGCTCAAGGACATCCTGAGTCAGAGAGGTCTTTTTTTGTTTGCTCATTCAGTAACCTTCAACAGATTACTCTTCCGTGAATCTAACCTAGTCTTCTCAGCTAAACATTCTGCATGTGCAGAACCCTGCAAGAAGCTCCACAGATAACTCCACATTGCATGAAGAGTCGCTTCTTTTGATTTGTTCACCGAAAAAGCACTAAATGTCACCTTTGAGCCCTAGAGCTTATCACTGAGCATTGCTCATCACTTTCTGTTGATGGCACCATCCTCCAAACTCAGCAGTACCACCTCCAAACACCACCACCAGCGCTCAATCTTCTGCTCCTTTAAAGTCCTACTCACTGGAGGCCTGCAGATACAGAGAAAAGGGAAAAAGAAAGAAACTACCCATTTTCTGCCTTGTGGATTACTGTGTAGCCTTCACATTGCTTCTGTTTCCCCGTGTCTCATTATCTCCAAAAATGATGCAATCATTTACAACCCAAGGCACACTGTGGGTTCACCACTGAGGCTTACACAAAGAGCTGGGTGACCTCAGCCGCCACAGAGGCTACCTTGCTGACTCCCTTGTCCACATTTCAAGGGAGAAGTAAAGAGCAAGAGGAACAKTATGGTGTAAAAGGCTGCTCAGACCTGCAGTCAGAGCAGTACAGAAAGGTCATGCGACTCCTGCCCATGGTGTTTGGGCTCCAGTACAGCCCTTTTCCTCAACGCAAAAATAAACTGGGCATTTAAAAAACATAACCTTTCACCTTTTCTGGTCCCCCAAAAGCTGAGCACCGTGCTGTGTCTGCTGTCGTTCAGGTTTCCAGGAGAGGGCAGTGCTATATCAATGCACGGGCAAATAGCTCACCACGGGGCAGTCTCCTCGGCCTCAACCTGCTTGCAATGACCTCCTCTTGCTCCGAACATCACCCACAGCAAAGGGACTCCTCTGTGCTCTGTCAGTCTGAAGCAATGCTGGGACAACTGCAGAGATGCACATGAAAAGAGAAACCGATGTCACTCTGGCCGTCTGAGCAGGCTCCTCACCGCCAAACACTTTGCACCAGGGCAAAGAAGGTGCAACACACTCCCAGAATGGGCAGATTTGTGTGACTGCCACTTTGCACAGATGTCAAAGGCCATGCAAGCAGCAGGGCTATGCTAGAGCTTTCAGATACCTATGGCCCTGGAGGAGGTCTTTACCTCACTTTGTTTGGGACACCATCCTGTTGGACCTCAGAATGGTTCTGTGCCGTTTGCATTAGGAATAAAAGGGAGAACAGCTGGGGGAGGCAGTCACTGCTCCTCTAAACACRGCCAGTACGTGGTACATACTTTGGCTCCAGCCTCTTTCCTATAGTTTCACGCACCAGGCAGAGCTGGACAGCGTGCTGCAAGCCAACTATTTGCATCTGACCAAGGGAGTTGCTGTGAGGCCACCATACAACAATTCAAACACAGGAGATTTAGGTGGGCTGTYTGGGTGGGAGCTGTAAATCTCAGGCTCACAGTATGTAAGACAAGAAGCTTAGATCAGAATTCATTYGACTGACAATAAAAGGATCAGGATCCTTTACCGTGCAACAGAAGACCCACACAAAGGAATAAAATAAACAAAGCCCACAACACAGAGATAATTCTTTCTTTCCAGTCCTATAGTGCTTTAAGTTACTTAAAATGCTACCTAGGGTTGCATCAATGACAAAAAGTTCAGGACAACGAGGTCACGAGGTCTTTTTTTTCCATCAGTATCATCTTAAATGCATCAGCACACAGAAATAAGGCACCTTCTGACACAAACCAGCTTAAGTGTTTCAAGATATCAATGGTCATTCCTCATGCTGTTGTTGACTGCTATGGTTGATACCACTGACACTTCAGTAAATAAGAGGAAATAGCTGATACATAATAGCTGGAAAAGCTCTGACTGGGAAGAACCAGAGGCAGGCCTGGGATGCATTTAGGTGCCAGAACAGCCGCAAAGAAATTGATTTTTAATATAACCCAGTCAGACCAAATGCACACAACCCATTATTCATAATAAAAGAGAGGGGAAGGGAAAAAAAAAAAAAAGGACTCAGATTACATAAGGCAGATATAACTGTTATCTTCTCTTCCTAAATGTGCTACTTTTCACATTAACATCTTCCATCTGTTTGGGATCTGACCTCAGCGGCTAGGCCAGGCGCATTTATCTTCTTGCCCATGGATGTTCCCATATAAGGTGATCTCTCCTTGCACATGGAGAAYGATTTCAATTTGCTCAGGTTTCTTTCCACTCTGATTTGCTGCCCGCTACGGCTGAGCTCCCCTCACAGTTTTGCAAGGCAGTCATCCACGCAGCACTAGTTATAGAGGGAKGAGGAAGTCAGGAGGGAGCAGTGAAGCCAAGCCTGAGGATCTAAAGGGCTCTGCAGAGTTTATTTGCAGACTCCATTCTCTTTTCTTCTTCCAGTTGCCTCTGGATGATGCTTTTTCAATAAGTAGTTTCCATGAGCCTTTCTTAAGCAATTTAAAACATAAGCCCAATGCCAAGTTTATCCCYGCCTTAAGCTATAGGGCTAAACTGTCATAACAGCTCTCATGTCATTAGGAAACTTTGAAACACTACTGTCACTCCCCATGGCAGCTAATTTGGCAATTTGGAAAATGTCCCAGAACAATGCAACAAATATATATGCAAACCCTGACTCTCTATTCTTTAAGACGTGATCCAGATACCCCATCAACTCATCTAAGACAGCACACATTGTGCTACAGGATCCTTCATGCTTTCATTGAATYGGAAAGTCCCATGGAGCTCGGTTCTGATGGGTGATTTCACTCCTACCTTTAATCAAGCAACTCCTACCTTTAATCAGTTTTCAATCAGGCTTTTGGCAGCAGCAAGGCAGAGCCCAGGTCCAGTGACTTCTGGTCTTCAGGGTCTCCCTCCTCTCTGCAGGGTCAGAACGATCTGATCTCCTGGGTTTCCCCCAGGGCAGAGTGAAACAACCTCTTATCTTTCATTTCTTACTATCATCCTGGCATTTGCTAAGGTCTTCAAACATCCTTCCTCTCCTTATCTGCTAGGAAAGGATATCAGTATTTACAGAAACTCTTTCTCCACCTTCAAGGAAGCACTGCCTTGCACTCACATGGCTCCATCACTTTTAATTACCAGTTAATGCAGTTTGCAGGGATTAGAACTGACCCTTAACACCTCCACAGGAAAAAATACTGATTTCATTTGCTCCCCCTGTATATTCTCTATGCTCAAAATACTCATCGAGAGAAAAGAGTGCAATTGATACCAGGAAAGCCTGTCAAGGGAAAGTAGATCTCTTCTGGGAACTTGTAGGTAAATATGATTCCTAAAGGTCAGTATACAGAGTAAAAGCACAAAGGAAACATGATCTGCTTTTTAAAGTTCAAATCCAGGAGTCAGGAGACTTGGATTACGTTCCTGGCTCTACTACAGCCTTACCATGCAATCACAAGCAACTCATCCATCCCCTCGGTGACTTAGTTTACCCGGTTAAAAACTATGACAGCAATGCAGTACCACTATTTTAGGCTTCTTGTAAGGATCAGTAAATTAGTGTTTTGTAAAGCRCTTCTCATGCCTCAGAAGAAAGAAAGTAGCTAATCTAAAATAGATGCAGTATTTAGAATTGCAAAGTATTACATTTATGATTGCTATTTACTGAGTCAAATTCTACAGTGATTTACAACCTGTGCATTTCAATTTGTTTCAATTTAATATGACTCACTGCATATTTTAATCCATCATCCGTGGACCTACACAGGATTCTAAGACAAAACAGGAATCTAACTGCAATGGCAGAGGCTCCAAATTCCACCTATTTAAGGTTTAAACATGGGCTCTGAGTGATCTGCAACAACAAAAAAMCGCAGACTGGAGATTTCAGTTTCGCAAACAAGTTTCACTTTGATACACAGCCTATTTTCGACTGTTTGGTCCTTTTTGAAGCTGCTGCCCCTGTTTCAGATTTAGCATAGCCAGCGCTCCACACTTAGAGCTACTTTGAGTCACGCTGGCAATGGATGTGCA